GGGAGGAAGGAGAGGGGGCCCCCCCTGCCACTGTGTGCACTCCTAGGCAAGCAAGGTCGGGGGGGCCTTGTGCCCCCAGATCTGCGTGTGGGGTGAGGTTGGGCTGCCGCTGTGGCCTTTGCCCCAGGTGCCAAACTTCCTTGTCATGGCACTGTAAACAGCTCTCCCCAAGTGGCACTCCTTTCTCATGTGGGGCAGCATAAGGTTGAAAGTGGTGCATAAGGCTGCAGTGTGGCTACTATGGCCCTGTTAGCAATCAGAGAAATGGGCAGACTGAGTTGGACCTCTGCTGGCCCTGGTTCACTGTTTGGGTCTGACTTCAGGTTGCCAAACTGACTTCACGTTACTGCCAGCTTGTCCCAATGACCAGCATGGCTGCAAGCAGCCTGGATATAAGCAGTCACCCTTCCAGCATTTCTTGCCGACTCAAACAATCTACAGATGCCTCTCTGTGCAGCTCCTAGCTTGAACCTTTGCCTAGCTCCTGCCTTGGAGCCTTAGCTAGCTCCTGCCTGCACCATTACCTAGTCTGAATCTTGCCTAGCCCTTAGGCTAGGGACAGATATTCAAAAAACCTGAGCCTGGATTGTTCAGTCTTTGCAGGTTAGTGTAACCTGCAGAGAGTGAACCAGTTTGCAAGTGGATAAACATTTGGCACATGCCTGCAGTGGCTCCAGCCAGAAGCCTGGGGGCGCTAGAGAAGCCCTCCCTTCCACAGGAAAGCTGAGCTGAGGAGGGGATGCCCAGGCCATCCCTGCCTCTGCAGATCCCTAACAGCCGGGAGCAATCCGGGCACACAGGGCTGCCCGGGCCCAGAGGGGGACTCTTCCCCTTTCTTCCTCTCCCCCACCACCGTGGAGCTGGAAGGGGGGCCCTGTTTGGTGCTTGTCTTCTCCCTGTGGTGGGGTGGGGAGTGGGGCTCTGTGAGGTTGCCTGGTGCCAGAGGAGGACTCTTCCCCCTGCTTCTCTCCCATTGCTTCGGGGTGGGGAGGGGGAACTCTATGGGATGCTGCCCAGAAGGGGGCTCTTCTCCCACTCTTGCCCCCCAGGGCAGGGGATGCTCTGTTCCATGCTGGGGGGAACTCTTCCCCCTCCTCCTGCTTCCCCCAGAAGGGTAGTGGGAGTGCAGAGCTCAGCTGGGCAGGGTGTGGGGTGTGAGAGAGGGGGTATAGGGACCCCCACACCCTCCCCCCCCATGGTGTGCAGCCCCCGCTGCCTGGCAGATGGGGAGGTCAGGGTGCTCATGCCCAGTGCAGGCACAGCTCCGGCCAGGAGGAAGTGGAGTCTGACTTATCCCCGCAGCTCTGCTTCCTGAGCCTGAACCTGCAGTGGGGGAATCCCTGCACTGAAGCCAGCTGCTTCTCCCTTTCCCTGCTGTGCAGGCCCCACACTCTGCCAGGAGTGGAGGGAGCCCCACCCCCTGCTTCCCTGCAGAGTCCAGTGCAGGGCTTCCCCTCTGAGTGTGGAGCTGTAGTGTGTGGAGCCCTGGGGATAAAAGCAGCCAGCCAGGCTGTGTAAAAGAATACCAGTCCAGCCTCCTTCCTCTCTTTGGGGGTAGTCTGTTTCCCCTCTCTCTCTCTCATGTGTCTATCAACCTGGTTGCTAGGCAACCACTTGGTTGCCTAGGAAATCCCTATGGGAGGGGGAATCTCCCTCTTTCTGTGGCCAGGTCTATTGTTAAATTTCCTGCCCTTTGCCTGGGAGGGCAGTCCTAAGGCGGTGGCCCTTTCTCAAGGTGAGAGAGAACATTTTTAAAATTGATTGGCTGGCATCAAATAACACTTGTCCCTGACTGGGTATAGGGGGTGAGGTCAGAGGGGCTGTTTAAGAGAGAGTCTCTCCAGGAAGAAGACAGGCAGACATGTTGGGACATTTACACAGAAACTTGAACCTCTGCAGCTCTCTTTCTCTCTCAGGATGTGGAAGTGAGTAAACTACTAGAAACTTAACTAGAAATGTAGTTTACAGTTATCTAGAAGCATATCAAATGGCTATCAGGCTGGTTCTGTTTGCTCAGGGTTATTCTGTTGATACTTCTCTGACTTGCACTCCTCCCCAAGCCTGCCCTCTCTACCCAATAAAGATATCTATTAGCAAGCCCTGTGGTACATGCTTGAGAGTGTTTGGGCATACCTTTTTGCTTCCTTTGCATGGTTGACTAAGGGAGGCTACTTTCTGTCCTTCAGGCTAATAGAAGTACTCCAAAATGCCAAGGGCTATAGGACCTGTGTATCCTGGGTGGCACAGGGCACAGACAGAGACCGGAGTCTGGGTGGTGGCAGTGGTTACCCCAGGCTTGCGGGTGTGCTTCAGGAAGTGGGTTGGCCTGTCATAGGCACCCCAAGGGAGACACTCGGGGCTTGGTTTTTGGCTGAGCACAGTGAGGTGGGCAACTCAGTGCTGGAGCACCCCCTACTAGCCAACTAGAGGTTATGCAGGGCTGTGCTCCTCACCCTTAGTGCAGCACTGGCTGCCTCTGTCCCCACAGCTCTTCACTGTACCTGCAGCTCCACACTCAGAAAGGGGAAACCTTGCACTGGACTCTGTGGGGAAGCAGGGGTGGGGCTCCCTCCACTTCTGGCAGAGTGCAGGACCTGCACAGTGGGGGGGAGAAGCAGGAGGGAAGAATTAACCCCCGTTCCTGCCCACTTTGCCTTAACAGGGTCATGCCAGCTGGTGTCTCTGCTAGGGCCGGTCCCTGCTCCAGCTAGAGAGCAGAGGGGCAGGGGTAGCCCTGCAGATGGAGCAGAGAGGCCCGCCCAGACCAGAGAGCATGCCAAGATGCTAGGGGTGTCTAGTTTATCTTAAACCAGCAAGGGGTCTAGGACAGACATTGCATAAACCGGTTTGACCCAAATCAGTTAAGTCTGATACTACATTCAACCAGGTTTATTTCAAACTGGTTTTAGCCATTTTGAAACTGGTTTATGTGCACGGAATGTCTGTTCTGTTACAGGTTTAAACCAGTTTCTAATCACTTAAACTGGTTTATATGTAATGTCTGTCCCTAGCCGTAGTGTCCGGACCCTTGGTTTCTGAACTCTTAGACTTGGCGTCTTCATAGCACAGAGCCACTAACCTTCCACATCCAGCCTGTGCCTGCTAGAGGTCCCTATATGCATGATGAATTTCACTCTGAGTATAATTAACAAATATAGTATAGACTGAGGTTGTTACTTTATGGTGGATCATGGTTCCCCCTGAACATTATGGATCTAACTGGCTATTTAGACAAAATTCCCATTGACCAATAGCTGCCATCTCTCCCATTTGTTTGTTACCATTTTGGAGAAGGAAAAGAATAAAAAATGATTTAGTCCAGCAAGGTATTTATTAGTCCTTTTTAGAGCATATTTGTAAAGATTTAAAATATTCAAATATGAAATACTGTGGATTCTTGTGGGTTGTTCCATGAGGCATATGAGTTCATATTATAAGTTCTTAACCTATATTTTATTTTAATAACAATGTTTTATTTCATGGCCCAAGAGCTATTTAGGAGGTTTCAGCAAGCGCTCAGAAACATGACTTAATATTTTAAAATATTAAAAGCAGATAGAATATTTATACTATATCTGCTAACAAGAATTTAACATTTTTAAATTTTATTTGGCTAATCACCATTCATTAGAAATTATTTTAAAAACTCCAATTTTTCCCAAAGCAGATTGCAATAGTGATAACTTTTCAGTCCCAAGCGTCTCTTGAAACAAGAAGTATTTCATTTCCAGGTGTGACCTTCCCTCCAAATATGTTAAGTGATTCATAAGCATGAAAGCTCTCCAAAATGATCATTGCTAGTAATGATTCCCTTAACAGAACAGGTAGGCTGCACTATAGCAGACTGCCTCCACCCTCAGTTGGAAACTATTCCTTTCCGAAGAAAGGGTTTATAGTGATTATTAAACAAAGGAAATCACTCTAAAATTATTTTCAGCATCTCCAGATCCTTTTCTGGAAATATACCTTATTACATCCAGCAAAATTTCTACCCTATGGGCTAATTCATTGCAGGTGATATCAGATATGGTATTGTTGGCTTAAAAGCATTCTGTATGCCAGGCATGAATTTGAATATGTGAGAGAAATTGCTTGTAAAGTTCAACTAATATATTTCACTAAAATGGGTACATGAACACAAAGTACTTTCTTACTCAACAGGACTTCTTCCTGTACATGTGTTTAGAATCAGATCTACTCATTTTAAGGGGAAAAATATTTACTATCTCCCCCTACCCCCCCATTTGAATCCTACTGAGCCAACACATCTAAGAGAGAAGCAGCTGAGGGTCTTTTATTCTTCCTTTTTTAAATCAGTATCTTTATTGTCATTTCCTTTCCAATTCCTTGTTTGGAATGTTCTCCCAAAATGTGTTTGATAAGGCCTACCACCTACACCTCTCATCTCTCTGAAAAACCCTTAGAAGAAAAGAACTCCACTTTGAACTGGCCCTTAATACACTTTGGAGGAACCTACTGTAGTCTAGTGATACAGATTCCATGTATATTCAGTGTAGAGCAGGGGTAGGCAAGCGTCAGCATGGGTGCCAGAGCATGACATGCAAAGGCATTTTGCTTGGTGCAGATGACTTGGAAGGGGCCAGGGCTGTGCTGCCACAACAAGGATTGGGCCCCTTGCAGCCTCCCCACCGTCAGCAAGTGGCATACCAATATCTTAAAAGTAAAGTGTGTTTTTGGCAGTCTGTCCAAAAATGTTGCCAACTCCTGGTGTAGAGGCATCAGGGAAGTGACATTTATATCCTACTCCCCAGCAACTCAGAACCACAAATCTGCAGTAACTCTGCAATTATTATTCCAATCCCATTGTGTAGGGTAATGGAGACAAAAGTTACAAGAGAGATTAAAATATGAAAGTATAACACATGTACAACTTTCCTTCTGCTGGCTTTCATAAAAATGTTAAGGGGCGTGTAAACATATTGAGTAAAGCAAGTCACCTGTAATGCTGTTAATATTTTGTGGGAAATTATTTTTGAATCTTAAAACCTGAAGTGGAAAGCTCTAAAGCAGGGGTTGGCAACCTATGGCTTATGGACTGGATCTAGCCCATCTAGCCATTGGATCTGACCTGTAGACATGTGCCTTTGGCAGTGTTTGGTGGCAGGGGGCTTTGGCTGTGGATGCTTTTGCTGGCACCCACCTTCCTGCCTCTGATCTGAAGGGGGTCATTAGGACCCGCAGTAGGAAAGAGGTGCTGATTTCTGCTCTAAAGGGTTTGAGTATGTCTGTCTGCACCATGACTAGGGACCTTTAAAATTCACAGGCCCTGGAGGCCGATTACATACCTATAACACAGCTGAAGCCTCCAGTTTCATGGCAGTATCATGGTCAGGGCCACCATTTTGAGGGCAGAGCAAAGCACACCCACATGCCTCTGATTGGCTGGGGGGCACCATAAGTCCCACCCCTCCCAAGCATTGATTGAAAGCCCTTCATGCAGTCCTTCATGCAGCAGGACACCAGCAATGAGCCTGGGGGGGGGGGGGGGCGGGGAGGATAGGGAAAGCCTCCTGTTGGGGGGTGATACAAGCCATTTCTTCTGTCCCTTTCCTCCCCAGTACTGTTGCTCCAGGGCCTGTCTTGCCAAAAAAGCTCCAAGCTTCTCCCATTTCTTTGTACTGGAGCTTGGGCAGCGAGGTGGGGGGATTGCAGGGGAGCCAGGAAAGGAGGAAGGAATGACACCAAGACCTGGAGCAGGGTGCTGGGGGGAAGCAGCTGCCCTCCACTCAGGGGCTGGGGAGGGGAGGGTGGGGGCACCAAGTGGGACAGAGGAAGACTCCTGCTGCCCCCCCACCCCTGGGTGCGGAGTCCATGACCTTCAGCCTCACTGGGCTCTCTGTATGTGTGTGTGAATGAGTGAGATCAGGCACTCTGTGTATGCATGTTTGTGTGTCTGATTGGGGGGCAGCTGGGAGTGGGGCACACATTCCTCCCCCATGCCTCCAGGGGTGAGGGGCTGTACCCGGGCCAGAGCCTGAAGGGACCTGCCTCCAACCTGTCCCCACTCTGCCCATGCATGTGTGCATGCACACACACACGGAGGCATGCACTGACACATGCTTCCCTGCCACTTCCTCCCTCTCACTGCGACATGGATAAGCAACTTATCTCCTCCCCCCGCCCCCCAGCGGCAGCAGGGCAGGTATGGGGTGACAGTGCAGCAGGGCAGTAGGGATAGCAAATTATTCCATGTGTGCTTACAGTCCCCCAGCCACTTCCCCCTCCTCCCCCAAACTGGCTGCCTGCTTCTGCAGACCTCCAGAAAACAAAGGAAGGAATGCACAAACAAATCCCCAAATTAACCCAATCTAGAGAATCAGTATCTCCAATATTGTTTTCCTATGAGACTTCCCTCAGGTCAGAGGTGGGCAAGGAATATATGAAACGAATATCATTATAAGGCAGGGGCTGGTAATTATTTCAGGCAGAGGGCCACTTATCCAATTTTGGCAAGCTGTCCAGGGCCGCATGGGTAGCCCCGCCCCTTGACAGGTGCCCCGCCCCCTGGTCACCATCTTGGGACCAATGTCTCAGGGCCAGCGCCAGTGGGGCCCAGAGCGGGGCACAGGCTGGCAGGCTGCACCAGCAGGGAGAGTGGGGAGCTGGCCCAGCTCCATAGAGTCCCTGCCGGCCAGGGCCCTGTCCCCCTGCCCCCCTGCTCTGGGCCCTGCTGGCACTGGCCCCACGGCAACAGTGTGGGCCCTGTGCACCCGCTCACTCTCAGTGCCACCCAACCCCATAGTACAGGTGGGGGGCTGCATGCAGCCCTGATCCCATGCTCACCGGTAGGTAACGAGCTGGTGCAGAGCACAGGGAAAAGCGGCCCCTCCCCAACCCCATGGCCGTCACTCACTGCTGCAGTCACAGACAGCCCCAGGTGGGCTGCGAGTTGCTGCAGTGTGGG